GGAACTTTGTGCAGAACACCTGCTTCGCTCTGTTCGGCATCATCGCCCTGCAGGTAAACACTCACCTGTTGCAGGCTCTGGCTTTTCCCCTGGTAGTGACATGTTGTGGCTGTAAGCGCTGAGGTCCTCCTGCTGCCTTTGTGCATCACTGTCAGGTTAACGCTGTTCATCTGATTGTCACTGCTTAGCTTATGCACTTGGCTACGGTGCGTTACACTGTGGCAGCAACATGGCCGGGAACATGGAGCGCACAGTTAGCTGTTCCCAGTTCCTTGTTGCTGTGTACCAGTGGATGTGCTGCAGCTGTTACTCTGATAATGATGGAAACGTGGAAACCTGATGAATGTCAGGCAGGTTGGGAGGCGTCCGAGCCTCTGCACCGCTGATTATCTCATAATTACAAAAGGAGGTCTCCGTTTTCTGTCTTTGAGTGTGGTGCACCTCAGTCAGAGTGGTTTGTGAGTAAGTGGACTGAACAGTGTGTACTGGTAATCTGTCATGTGAAACTGGGACCCAGAGTCAGTCAGGATGTGGAAGTCACTGCTGGTTCTTGTCTCCCTGCAGACGGTGGCCTACAGCATCCTGTGGGACCTCAAGTTCCTAATGAGGTGAGTCTGAGAGCTCACACAGCTCCATCTACACGTGGACCCTCTGGTCTTAAACCTTACCTCTTAAAACAGAACCTTTCAGGTCACACTGTGCCCAGGGGCCATTTTATAGAGGTGCACTTTGCAGTAACTCTTCCTACCAGAAACTAAAATGTAAGATTTTCAAAGCAAAGTTTTGTTCTCGAGCTGTAACCCTGACGTGGCTGTGGTCATGAAAACAGCGCTGTCCTCCTGTGTGCAGGAACCTGGCGCTGGGTGGAGGCCTGCTCCTCCTACTGGCTGAGTGCAGGGAGGAGGCTCGCAGCATGTTTGCAGGAGTCCCTTCTCTCGGTCACCACAGTTCTCCGAAGCACCTCCTGCAGCTGGGAGGAAGAGTCCTCCTCGTCCTCATGTTCATGACGCTGCTGCACTTCGACCTCAGCCTGTTCACTGTGAGTGTGCACAGCAGGACACACATTACTGGTGGTTCAGCATCCCCGCTTCAGGTGTGGAGGACAGATGGCCACTTGTACACACATCAGCGTGACAGTATATAACAAAACCCACAGAAATAATTTCTGGGAAAAATATGTATTTGGGGGGGAGAGCTTGTGACCTCTACTGCAACTAGGCCCCGGTGGGCGATCGACTCGCAGCAGCTTCACTCCTGGAAGCTGTTGCTCATCAACCTTTATGTTCAGCCTGTGGCGTAGACCTGTAAAACCAAACCACATAGATTCTCACTGGCGTTTTGCTGTAAGTCTGGGTCAGTGACCTTTAGCAGGTAAATAGTTCGAGTGCCGACCTGGACACACGTTGGTGCGATTCATCAGTGTGAAGTATGCAACAAGCTGGGGACACCTGCTGAGTTTGACCAATTGTGCAGTCCCCTTAGTCAAGTCTTGATTCTGTTTGGGGGTTAAGAATGGATCACCCCACTAATCGAAAATCAATAGACTGATTAAAAAATGATTTAGTTTCAGCCTTGCTAACTCTTCTCTTTGCGGCACTAAAGATCTTGTTTGCAGAAATGACCCTGAATACCAGATGTGAAGTGTGATGACAGTAACAGTTTCCAACCAAACAGACGGTAACTAGATGACTGGTGTGACTGGCGGGAACCTGGGGACAGGCTCCTCTGCAGCCACAGGGTGGACACGTTTTACCTGTCCCCCAGACGCCAGCTGTCCCACAGTGAAGGCGCTGTTTTACATAAGGTCTAAAAGGCAAATGAACGTGTGGAGACTGTCAGGTGACAGTGTGGCTCTGGTGTTTTTGAACACAGGTCTGAGATTCTGTTCATGATTCTGCCAGTCCTCTGAGGCCACATTGTGAGCTGCTGACCTTGTGCTCAGTTCCTGCAGAACCTGGTGGGCACGGCACTGATTGTCCTGGTGGCGGTGGGCTTCAAGACGAAGCTGGCGGCTCTGACTCTGGTGGCCTGGCTGCTCTGCATTAACTTCACCTTCAACGCCTTCTGGACCATCCCCTCCTACAAGCCCATGCACGACTTCCTCAAGTATGACTTCTTCCAGACCACGTCGGTGATCGGAGGCCTGCTGCTGGTGGTGGCTCTGGGTCCTGGGGGGGTCTCTATGGATGAGAAGAAGAAGGAGTGGTGAGGGGGGTGAGCAAAGACTGAGGAAAGATGGGCCAGTGTATCATCATTTATTCTGTTACTCCTTTCATCCTGGAAAATAAAAGTGTCAAGGTTTCATTTTTAGGGGCATCCTAGATGGGGCATGGTTTGTTTCAATCCCACCTTATCCCAGTGCTCCCAGACAAATGGGGGGTGGGGGGGCCAGCAGACGGCAGGCTGCTCCTTCATTTCTCCTCATTATGGTTAATAACGTGTTGCTCCGATTCCTGTCTTCTCACATTTTTACCTCACATCTTACGTGGGCTGGACTGAGATGCTATGTAAAAAGCGTAAGTGAAGGAAACATGAATGCAGCTGAGGGAATCGGGATTTGCCCGGTGTCTGAGGCATCACACATCGAACTTGTCAGTGTTTCTGTTGCTGCCGACTGTAGAGTCTAAGAGCAAACACTGAACAGAATGTGAATTACAGAGCTGATAAGTGCTTTGGCAGCAGAGCCTCATGAGGCAAATGTTTTTTACCACTGTGCAAAGTGACAATTAGAACTGAGCTCGTTCTCTTATACAGGGCGCTGTCGAGAGGACTTGAGCAAACGTGTTTAAGAGACACGAGACGTCCTTTCCTCCGCCACTGCATCTGAAGCATCTGGTGACCATGTGGTTTCTGATAAAGGGGCGTGTCTGACCATAAAATCCTCCAGCAGCCTCCTCACATGTTGGAGCTGAAACAAGACCAAAACAGCTTCTGGACTGAGCGAGGCCCAGTCTCATGTCTACAAGGAGTTGTGGTCGAAACCTTCCCCTATGAAACAGGTTGACCCTTGACCTCTGCGTCATCAGTGGTTAATGACGATGGTTAAGAAAAGAGACGTGACGAGTGTCAGAAGTGTTGAATGATGTGATGGTGTCTTCAGCTCTGGTGGTTTCTCTTATGTGGCCTCTGAGCATCGGTTTGATTTTCAGCAGCAAATAAAAATGGAGGGATGTGTCTGGTGTGTAGCATCAACCGCAGATAAGGGGCCATGTCGGGTGGAGTTGCATTCAGTGAGGTAACTGTTCTAGGGTGAAGTGTCAGTATGAGCATGTTGCTGATTTGTTTGGCATCTAAACTAAAAACTTCTGGTTATTTTATCCAGAAGGCCTCTCCCAATAGGGTTTCCTCAAACTTGGCTGATTGGTGTCAAGTCCAGGTGGCTTCACACCAGCTCATGCACAAACCCCACAGATCTGAGTTATTTTCTGGGTTTGTTGTTTGTTCGTGTCCACGTGTAAACAGGAAACACCTCTTTGTGTTGACCTTAGATCAACCAGTCTCAAACGACTTGTCTTCCAGAATGAAAGGAGTGATTGATGACACACACACTTTCTATTTATTTTTTTCACCTTTTCTAACCCCCCACCCCCCCCCAACCACCACACCACCCCCA